GGGGAGTGTGCATGGGGAGTGTGCATGGGGGAGTGTGCATGGGGGTGTGTGCAAGGGGAGTGTGCATGGGGAGTGTGCATGGGGGGGTGTGCATGGGGGTGTGTGCAAGGGGAGTGTGCATGGGGAGTGTGCATGGGGAGTGTGCATGGGGGTGTGTGCAAGGGAAGTGTGCAGGGGGAGTGTGCATGGGCAGTGAGTGAGGAAGGAAGTGGTGGGGATGGTGTTGGAGAGATGGGTGAGGCCTAGATCCCATGGATCCTTGGACTATGGTAAGAACTTTCCACTCTTTCTAAGTGAGATAAGAAGGTTCTTATCCTCCAGCTGTATCACTTGCCCGTGATTATCCCCAACATCCCACGACCACCATAACCGACATCACTGCCACCACTGCATCCTCTGAACACCTGGTGGCCCCAGACCTTCTGTCCCTTCCCTACCCCGGCAACCACTGAGAGCACCGTGGCCCTCAGCCCCACCACTGGCAACACCATCCACACCACCCTTCCCCATCCTATGGCCCCTTGAGCACTGCTCTGTGAGTCACCCAGGCCTGGGCGCTCTGAAGGGGGGCCAGTAGGATTCAGAAATGGCCCATCCATTGCCGTCATAGATAGGAAGAATCTGGGAGGGAGACGCCTTTCCCTCTTCCAGGCTAAGAAATCATTTATTACAGCCCAGTAATCAAGATGATGCTTCTTCACTGTGCTTACTCTCCGGCCCCCTCAGAGGGATGAGAGAGGCAGGTGGAAATGCGCAAGGGCTGGCTGTTCGCTTCCCCTCCAGGCTGGTGCATCCGTTTCCCTGGGGGAGGAGGCGCACATTAAAGAGGTTAAGTGCCTGCTGACTCTTTTTATGTTAAAAATAAACATCCCAGCGAAGCAGTGGCATTGGTAGGCTTCACCCTCAGCTCTCAGGAAGCCAACTTCCCATCTCCCTGGAAAGCCAAACCAAACAAGCTCTTCTGCTGGTACAGTTCCAGGAGCAGCCCCGGCCTAATGAGGCAGCCTCCGCACCTTCTCTTCCCGCCCCTTGGCAGTGCTCCTGCGGAGGAGCTGTATAAATATAGGCCTTAATATTTAAAACCCTGGGCTATTAATCTCCTGGGCTCCCTGCTTCCCCAGCACACTCTCCACCACCACCACCACCCCCAATTCATTTTTAAAGCCCAGCTTGATGATGCAGCCAGATAGTAATTTCAGTGAGAAATGACAAGTTTAGCCACTGCCCCAACCTATATCTCTTGCATGATTTAAGTTGCGGCTCTAATTTTTTGTGAAGTCCAGGTAATTTAGAGCGTGGCTATGTGTTACTGTCCTTCCTTCCTCCTGCTGGGCTCGCCATGATCTGTGCATTCAAAATTCATAAGCTCTTCTCAGTCACGGCCTGGAAAGTGAATTTAATTTTTGATCACTTCTGTTGATATTTATTACGATGCCCCTTTTCTCCCGTCATGAATGGTGGCAGGGAAGAGAGACCTCGTAACATTTTTCCAGCTAGCAGGAGTCCAGAAACCCCTGCTCACGTGCGATGGCTTGGGAGAAGCCGGATCCCTGGAGAGAGTGGGTTTTACAGCCTTAAGCGTTGCTTCCTCTCAGGTGTACGTGACAAGTTTGTCTCTCGTCTCTAACAAAAGCAGGTTTCCCGTCAACTATGGATGAACCTCACATCCTTCTCTTGTCTCTAATAAGACAATGGTGAAGAAATGTCCCTGAATGGATGGCTTTGTCCCCACCTATTCCTAATGGTCAGCTTGGTATAACAGTATTTCTAGATAAAAACTAGTATCTGGGTAGAAAAGCCATTTTCAGGGAGAATCAGAGGCACTGGAGAGACCCCTCAGTCTTATGGGGTTGGGGACTAGTCCCGCTGACCCTGGGGACAAACCTGTTTTGTGCGGCCAGAACAGTATGTTGAGTTCCTCATTTGCACGATCTCAGGTAGAACAGAACTCCACAGGCCCCAGCACCTCCGTGTCACACACCTTTCTTTCCCCACTGACCCCGCTGGTCCTGGAATCTGCCACTTCTGTCCTGAGCAGCCTGGAAAGACTACCCTGTCTCAGTCCCAGGAGACTGGGGTGAGTCTGAGACTGACCAGATTCTAACCCGCTGTGGCCTGAAGTATGACTCAGGAACCACCTGCAGGGAAATTACCTGGAAATTTGTAACATATGCAGATTTCTTACCCCAGCTCCCTAGCCAACCCAATCAGACTCTCTGTGGGTGCATTTTAATAAAAATACCCTGGTGAAGTTTTGAGGTTTGAGAACCACGGGTCAAGGGTGACCCAGCCACCCAGAGTCTGTCCTGGGACCACCCTGGTGTGGATCAGGAGGAGTCGAGCATGGAGACAGGTGGGCACCTGAGGCCTTTCCCAGGCTGCCTTATTGCCCTGGGCCTCTGCGTCCTGCTTCCATCATATGAGTGCAGGGCAGGCTCAAGGCGCCGGCTCTGGACCTAAACAGCTCAGTCCAGTCACCTGTGGCCCCAGGTTCTTCCCCTCACAGGGCTGCTGTCTCCTTCCCGCAGAGCTAAGAATTAAGGTGAAGTGACCACCTGGGTCAGTTTTCAGCTAGACAATTTCTTCTCCAATGTCCACTCCCCACCATCTCTAAAACCACAAGAGATCTCACCTGGTTCTGTAGAGGGCTGGGACGAAGTCTAGCTGGGGCCTGAAAACCAGGGGGCCCTCACAAGGCCAAGGCAGAGGGCTCCCCACTGACCACAGAACTTCCTCTGCACACTAAACATCTAAGTGCCTTGAGGGACATCCCAGGATCAGGCAAAAGATAAGCAACGGCAATAAAGCAGTAGCTCTCAGCAGTGGGATCTGAGCACAGACCTTGCCTGCCTGAAATACCTCGCTAGGCAGGGGTGCTGAAGGTGAGCCCGATTAGGATAATCCAGGGCATTTGCTTGTTAAGACCCTTAGACAGAAATGGAGCGCCGAAGAAAAGCCCCGGGTAAGCCGATGAGTTTGCAGGCGCGATCTGTGGATTTGTTAGGGGCCATCTCGCCCGCTCAAGGGATAAGCTCGACAGCTGTGCCCAAGAAGCCCGGCCCTCTGAAGTCTTTCAATGCGCAGGCTTTGGAGCAGGGAGGAGAGGAGCAGAGGCCCAGGCAACGGAGGTCGCAGGCCCTGGGGAAGGCTATTAGAGGGAAGAGAGAGGCAGGCACAGGGGTGCGCTCCGGAGGCTGGGGGCTGGGCAGCCTGGCCCCGTGGGGAGTCTGCTTAGGTGCCCTTTCTTCCTCATATCCCCTCATCTGCTCCTCGTTGACCCGCCCAGACCCCAGCTCCCCCTCTTCTGCACAAAAGCAAAGGCCCGTTGATTTATTTTGTTAAAGAGAGAGAGGACTGGAGAGGTTCCTCGTCCCTGGAAATTGGAGCGTCTCCCCTTCCAGTGACAGGAGCCCAGAGGCCATCCCTGAGCCGGTGACGCTGAGAGCATGCCTTCCCCTCCGTGAAGAGCCACTAGCAAGAGATAGAGGCCGGTGCTCAGAGGGCACGGGGATGCTCCAAAGTGGGCAGCCTCCCGGCTCCGAGGAGGCCCAGAGCCTCTCCACCAGCGAGGCCAGGTAGCCGCCTTCTCCCACAGCCTCCCTCTCGCTCAGTGTCCCAAAGCCTGGACGTCACCGCCCTGGGGCTGCTCCTGTGCAGAGAGCACAGCCAGCAACAAGTCCAGTCCCAGCGCCACCCACGGGAGCCACAGGATGAGTTACTCACACGGCTGGAGGATGCACTGAGCCAGGCGGAGCCTTGAGTCCTGCTCAGAACCTCCTTGCAGGTCAAGGAGGAAAGGTCAGTGCAGAGGCGAAATGACTTAGGACTTTGGGGGAGAAAAGTAAGCGTTTGCTGAGGCATGAGGCAGAAGAGGATGCCTNCTGTGTTTGGGTGGGGCCGGTTTCTGCTTCGTTTACGCTGTGGTTGTTGGTAATGTGACCTAGACAAAGGCCCCCCTCTGACTGGGTGCAGTTTCTGACTACAGAGCAAGGGCTCAGCGTGCAAAGCCACCTGTCAAAGTCCAGGTGCCGTGGGCGGGCGTTCTTCGAAAGCCAGGAAGGTGATAGGAATGCAGTGTATTTCATCACAAGCTGGCTGACTCGAATGGTCTCGAAACCCCTTCTCTTGCTCTCTGAATCAACAAATTCGTTGAATAAATTAATTATCACCATTTTGAATACCTGAAATGCTTGATTCACACTGAGGAATGGCCGTGTCACACCTCTGAGCCGTGTTCTCAGACTCTCCCATTCATGTTTTTAGAGACATCAGCAAGAACCAGATATCAGACATCGCTCCAGATGCCTTCCAGGGTCTGAAATCGCTTACGTCACTGTAAGTGGGGAGAGTGTCGCCTGGAACGGTGAGGGAGGGCTCGGGAGGGGGGAAATACATCCCTATTTTTCATGGGGCATTTATGAAGGCTTTATGTTCCCTTACACACTTGTGGCAGCCTGGTAGGAGAAACAAATATTTCTTCAGGGGAAATTGATCTTGGGGAATATTTCCACAACCCAAATGCATTATTTCTATTGATTAAGTGCCCAGCAGCCTTCCCAGTTATTGGCTTTTAATTCGAATGCATCTTCTACTCTAACCACACTCCCCCCTCCCACCCCACAGGCCTCCACAGTGCTCTCTAGGGAGATGGGGGGAGAGAATCGTAACATACGTTTATCACCAATGGGCCCATTTTCCCATGAACGTGGCCTTGTCCAGGGAGGAGCTAATGCTCTCCCCCTGATTTTCGAACATTTTCCTCCAAACCAGCCTCATGGCCATTGTTTGAGGAGGCATCGGCCCCATCCTATAAGTCCTGCCTTTCTCTGACGTTGAAACTCTAGGGCAGCCCATTGGGTGGAATCGAAGCCTTGCCTCTCAGTGGCTCAGAGGTCCACGGGCAGAGCTTTGTCCTGACTCTATCACTGACTCACCTTGTGGGGCAGGTGACAGTGATACCTTCCTGCCTGACACACATTTGATGGTGACAGTGAGCACAGCGACCGGAATAACTGGCGGTACTTATTGAGCACCTACTGTGTACCAGGTACTGTTCTAAGAGTCCTGCAAGTTTCCTCCTCACAGGAGGCCTCCAAGGTATAATCTGTCCTCATCGACGAAAGTGGGGGATCTGAGTTCCACGTAGACCAGGGTTTTTATCCGTTTAAATCCTGGCTGAGTCTCTGGCATCTCCAACAGTACCTGGCCCATAGATACTGTACAAAAGAAATCTCGGTGAATAAATAAATGTGATTCACCCAAAGTCCTCAGTAACAAGTAGCAACGGCAGGATTTGGACCCAAGCAGTCGGACCCCGGAAACCACGATCCTCATGCTAAGCTGCCTCTGGAGATAATATGAAAAGTAAACAATAAGATACAGCAAAGGGATCACCGGGGGTATTACTTATGTCCTTCGGTGACCTGCCCGCCCGGGCAGGAGTGAGGGTGCTCAGAGGCCAGCTGTCCACGCGTTGCCTCTGTTTGCCTCATTAACGAGGGGGCAGGTAAGAAACCACGTTCCCCCCACCTGGCCCTATCCCCCCGAGAACGGCAGGCGGAGGACAGGAAGTCCCCTGATTCAGCTGCGCCCCGCTGCTTGCAGAGTAAATTAGTTTCGTTTATCGGGTAGAACATCTGGCTGGGATATCAAAGACAGGATTGTGTGCGAGATTAGCGTCTGCTTATTGTGTTGAAGATCACAGACGAGAAGGGGGAGCGGCCGTCTGCCACCAGGATCCCATCCCTGCCCCCACCACCCTGCTCCCCTTGTCTGGTTTCTCTCTGCTGGCATTTAGAAACAGTCTGAAAACAGCAAGATGCTTCTGGTCTTGCAAGAAAAGAAATTCAAAATATGGTCGCCAGCCGTGGAATTGGCTTGCCACTAGCCAATTCTGAAATGTATCGGGCACTGTTTAAGTGGAGTGCCCTTTACCCCCAGTTTATGCATTCATCCATCCAGTGGTACCTTCTGGGTGCCGAGGAGTATTACAGGGACTGAGAATGTGGCCGTGACCTGGACAGGCAAGAGCCCTGGCCTCGTGGAGCTTGAAACACAAGCACACTCAGTCCAAGCTCAGGAGCGGCCAAGGTAAAGGGCAGAAAAGCCGTCAGCCCATACCTGTTCATTCATTCTTTCAGCAGCATTGATCGCGCTGGACATCCTGTTCATTCTCAGCTCTGGGGACCCAGTGAGAGCAAGCCACGGGATGTCACCACGCACACAGCCTGTACTCAAGGGGGTTTGTTGGAGGGAGGCACAGAATGCTTCTAGAATAAATAAATACAGAGTGGGGCACAAGTTGGTTTACAGTCGTTCATATGGAAAATAATAGAAAAACTAATAAATAACATTACAAGAATGAACTCTGTGTTTTGCATGCTCACAACTGTAAACCTATTTATGCCCCCCCTGTATATAAGTGATATAACATGATATAATGAAAAGTGAGAAATAAATAAAAGTACGGGGACAAGTGGTGGAAAACATTAACCAAAATATTCAGAAGAAAATTCCCAAGGAAGAGATGCTGGAGCTCGAACCTGAAAGGCATGCAGACAGCAGTCAGGAAAGGGCTGGGGGAAGGCCAGTGGGTCTACACCCAGGTGCCCCGAGGTGGACCCACAGCCCCCGTCAGCCTGTGGAGAGTGATTTGGACCCACTAGGCTTGGAGACATCCATACAGATGCATGATGGATGATGTGGGGACCCCCCCACCCCAGGCCCCTGGTCCC